CTCACTGCTACCTCCAGCTCCCAGGTTTGAGCGATTCTCCTGCTTCAGCCTCCCGAGTAGCTGGGATTACAGGTGCCTGCCACCACGAACAGCTAATTTTTGTATTTTTAGTAGAGATGGGGTTTCACCATGTTGGCCAGGCTGGTCTTGAACCCCTAACCTCAGGTCATCTGCCCACCTTGGCCTTCCAATGTGCTGGGATTACAGGTGTGAACCACCATGCCTGGCCAGTTCCCACTCTTATCCTCTGATATGTGATTGAACTTCCTAAAATGCAATCTGACCATATTACTTCCATCCTTAATATATTTTAATAATTCTTTATCATCTTTGAGATCCTTTATTCTTTGGTGTATCTCTCTTTTACCCTTGTCTCCAACACACATCTATTATTTGTGTTCTTGCCTTAGTGAACTAATTTTACTTGAATTCTCTCTCTCTCTCTCTTTTAAGAGATAGCGTTTCACAAACAAACAAACAAACAAACAAACAAACAAACAGAGATGGGGGTTTCACCATGCTGGCCAGGATGGTCTCGATCTCTGACCTCATGATCCTCCTGTCTCTGCCTCCCAAAGTGCTGGGATTACAAGCATGAGCCACCACGCCCGGCCTTATTTGAATTCTCTTGTGTGATCATTCTTTGGTCCATGTTCTCTTTGTTCAAAATGCCCTTTCCCCTCTTGTCCTTTTGGTTAAGTTCCAGATCTAGCTCTGCTATATGCACAACCATAGCATAATATACAGACTTCTATTGTTGATCTTCACATACTGTATCACAGTTGTATTTGTAGTAGTTTCTTTGACTACCTCTTCCACTTATAGTCTTATAAGCCCTTGAAGGTAGTAAAGATGTCTTTTAAAATTCTGGAATCACTGGCTAGGTGGCTCACGCCTATTCCCAGCACTTTGAGAGGCAGAAGCAGGCGGATCACCTGAGGTTGGAAGTTCGAGACCAGTCTGACCACCTGGAGAAACCCCGTCTCTACTAAAAAATAGAAAATTAGCCTGATGTGGTGATGCCTGTCTGTAATCCCAGCTACCTGGGCAGGCTGAGGCAGGAAAAACACTTGCACCCGGGAGGCAGAGGTTGCGGTGAGCCAAGATCGTGCCATTGCACTACAGCCTGGGTGACAAGATGAAACTTCATCTCCAAGAAAAAAAAATTCAGAATCACAATCTGATGCATAATAAGAATGTTAATGTTTGCTGAACAAATAAATAAATGAACAAATGAAAATGAGGAATAAATAGGGAGAGATCACTGAAGAGTGGAAAAGAAGACATCAAGAGCAAACAGAGAGCCAGTTTTGGAAAGAATGTCCTCTTTTCCTCTGCGACAGGGGAAAGAAGGGAAGGGACAGCAGAAGGAGGGTGTAGTCAGAAGTAGATCAGTTCAGATCGGGTGTGGTGGCTCACACCTGAAATCCCAGCCTTTGGGAGGCTGAGGCAGGAGGATCACTTGAGGTCAGGATTTCGAGACCAGCCTGGCCAACATGATGAAAACTCTGTCTCTACTAAAAGTGCAAAAATTAGCCGGGCATGGGCACATGCCTTTAATTCCTACTACTCGGGAGGCTGAGGCAGGAGAATTGCTTGGACTTGAGAGGTTGAGGTGGCAGTGAGCCGAGACTGTGCTACTGGGCTCCAGCCTGGGCGACAGAGAAAGATTTTGACTCAAAACAAACGAAACAAACAAACAAACACAAAAACCAGTAGATGAGCTTGAAGTGAAAGGGAGAAGGTTGAAGGAGTTCATGCTGGGTGGTTTCTATTTTCTCTTTAATGTAATAGGTAAGGCATTCCTCTTTTTTGGAAGACACCGCATGTCAGTGAAGTTATGTAACAGCTTCTTCTCAATTTTCCCACCAGTGAAATTCCTGATTCTACTCTCTAACCCATATCTCCTGTAAATTTGTGAGAACAAAGGAGGTCATATAGGATAGAGCAGGCGTCCCCAAACTACTGCCGGCCCGCGGGCCGCATGCGGCCCCCTGAGGCCATTTATCCGGCCCCCCCGCCGCACTTCAGGAAGGGGCACCTCTTTCATTGGTGGTCAGTGAGAGGAGCACAGTACATGGCGGCCCTCCAACGGTGTGAGGGACAGTGAACTGGCCCCCTGTGTAAAAAGTCTGGGGATGCCTGGGATAGAGCTTTGAGCGCTTTAGATAAGTAGCAATGGACCTACTGATCATCACTTAAATCTGACTTTAAATCCATGCAGTTGAAAGCGTGGAAATTCCAAAGCCCCTCCCATTTTATCATTCCTTTTGTTTCTGTGTATTGTAAATGCTGCAGTTCCCAGAATTGAAAATATTTTGTTTGCCTCCAAATTAATTCGAAAAAATTCACTTGGCCTAGTATTACTCTTTTTCTTTTTTGAGACAGAGTCTCACTCTCTTGCCCAGGCTGGAGTGCAGTGGCACAATCTTCGCTCACTGCAGCCTCCACCTCCTGGGTTCAAGTGATTCTCCTGCCCTAGCTGGGATGGCAGGTGTGTACTATGACACCTGACTAATTTTTGTTTTGTTTTTTTTTTTTTTTTTGAGACGGAGTTTTGCTCTTGTTACCCAGGCTGGAGTGCAATGGCGCGATCTCGGCTCACCGCAACCTCCGCCTCCTGGGTTCAGGCAATTCTCCTGCCTCAGCCTCCTGAGTAGCTGGGATTACAGGCACGCGCCACCATGCCCAGCTGATTTTTTTGTATTTATAGTAGAGACGGGGTTTCACCATGTTGACCAGGATGGTCTCGATCTCTTGACCTAGTGATCCACCTGCCACGGCCTCCCAAAGTGCTGGGATTACAGGCTTGAGCCACCATGCCTGGCCTAATTTTTGTATTTTTAGTAAAGATTGTATTTTTGTATTTTTTGTATTTTCTTTTCTTTTTCTTTTTTTTTTTTTTTTTTTTTTGAGACGGAGTTTCGCTCTTGTTACCCAGGCTGGAGTGCAATGGCACGATCTCGGCTCACCGCAACCTCCGCCTCCTGGGTTCAGGCAATTCTCCTGCCTCAGCCTCCTGAGTAGCTGGGATTACAGGCACGCACCACCACGCCCAGCTAATTTTTTGTATTTTTAGTAGAGACGGGGTTTCACCATGTTGACCAGGATGGTCTCGATCTCTTGACCTCGTGATCCACCCGCCTCGGCCTCCCAAAGTGCTGGGATTACAGGCTTGAGCCACCGCGCCCGGTGTATTTTTGTATTTTCACTACGTTGGCTGGTCCCGAACTCCTGACCTCAAGTGATCTGCCTACCTCAGCATCCCAAAGTGCTGGGATTACAGGTGTAAGCCACCATGCTCGGCCTGGCCCTTCTTTTCTTTCTTTTTTTGACATGGGTCTCACACTGTTACCAGGCTGGAGTACAGTGGCACAATTAGCGCTTGCTGCAGCCCTGAACTCCTGGGCTCAAGCAATCATTCTGCCTCAGGCTTCCGAGTAGCTGAGACTACAGGTGCGTACCACCACTCACAGCTAATTTTTTAATTTAGTTTTTATTTATTATTTGTTGAGATGAGGTTTTGCTCTGTTGCCCAAGCTGGAGTACAGTGGTGCGATCATGGTTCACTGCAGCTTGTACCTCCCAGGCCCAAGCAATCCTCTAGCTTCAGCCTCTCATGGAGCTGGGACTGCAGGTGCATGCCCCCGTGCTTGGCTAATTTTTGTATTTTTTTTTTATAGATAGAGTTTTGCCATATTGCCCAGGGTGGTCTCAAACTCCTAAGCTCAAGGAATCTACCTGTCTCCGCCTCCCAAAATGTTGGGATTACAGGCACGAGGCATGCCTGACTTTATTTTTAATTTTCTCTACAGACAAGGTCTTGCTACATTAACCAAGCTGGTCTTGAACTCCTGGCGTCAAGCGATCCTCCCACCTCAGCCTCCCAAAGTGTTGGGATTACAAGTGTAAACTACTGTACCTCACAAGTTTTTGTTTTTGTTTTTTTTTTAATGAGGGAAAAGGATAAAACTGAGCAATATATATATATATTTTTTTGAGAAGGAGTTTCGCTCTTGTTACCCAGGCTGGAGTGCAATGGCACAATCTCGGCTCACCGCAACCTCTGCCTCCTGGGTTCAGGCAATTCTCCTGCCTCAGCCTCCTGAGTAGCTGGGATTACAGGCATGCGCCACCATGCCCAGCTAATGTTTTGTATTTTTAGTAGAGACGGGGTTTCACCATGTTGACCAGGATGGTCTCGATCTCCTGACCTTGTGATCCACCCGCCTCGGCCTCCCAAAGTGGTGGGATTACAGGCGTGAGCCACCGCGCCCGGCCCAAAACTGAGCAATATTATCTCTCCACTGAGATGTGTAGCTTTTTTTGAGTCATGCTTAAAGTCTAACTATATACTCTAAAATTGGTTTAGGATTCCTTTCAGCCACCAATGCCAACTTATCTTAGAGTTCAGTTGATCTAATTTAGAACAAATTTGTATCCGTAGATGGGATGGAAAATCTAGGTGAGGATTAAGGTCATTGCCAAGGTACAAGAGGAGGAGGAAGTCTGAGTTAATTATAACCTAGGTTATGCAGTCTTAATTCCAGGAAGCTGTGCCTTAGCTAGGTAGACAACTTGTTGATTGAGGAATATTCTCAGAGGAACTAGAAGCTATCAGTTCCTGAATTCTGAGATGAAGTTCTACATCATCTGAGATGAAGGTGAAGGTATCAGTATCCAAAGACTAGAAATTCTTTTTTTTTTTGAGACGGAGTTTCGCTCTTGTTACCCAGGCTGGAGTGCAATGGCGCGATCTCGGCTCACCGCAACCTCCACCTCCTGGGTTCAGGCAATTCTCCTGCCTCAGTCTCCTGAGTAGCTGGGATTACAGGCACACGCCACCATGCCCAGCTAATTTTTTTGTATTTTTAGTAGAGACGGGGTTTCACCATGTTGGCCAGGATGGTCTCGATCTCTTGACCTCGTGATCCACCCTCCTCGGCCTCCCAAAGTGCTGGGATTACAGGCTTGAGCCACCTCGCCCGGCCAAGACTAGAAATTCTAAGAGAAATATGTCACTTGGGAAAAGCCCTTTAGTAAGCATTTGCTTATTTTCTTTTTTTTGAGACGAAGTTACCCAGGCTGGAGTGCAATGGCACAATCTCGGCTCACCGCAACCTCTGCCTCCTGGGTTCAGGCAATTCTCCTGCCTCAGCCTCCTGAGTAGCTGGGATTACAGGCACGCGCCACCATGCCCAGCTAATTTTTTGTATTTTTAGTAGAGACGGGGTTTCACCATGTTGACCGGGATGGTCTCGATCTCTTGACCTCGTGATCCACCCGCCTCAGCCTCCCAAAGTGCTGGGATTACAGGCTTGAGCCACCGCGCCCGGCTCAGCATTTGCTTATTTTCTTTCCAGCAATCATGACTGGCCTGGAAGATTTCCCAAAGGTTATCTTTTTCCAAGACCAGTTGGGTAAGGCTGTTTTGATATGTTTTTGAATATATATTATAATGCATTCATTGTGTTTACTTCTTTATTCCTAGATCTTAAAAAACTATATCTTTTGGTAATAACTAAAGTAAAAACAGACAAAACAGAGAGAACATGGCCATCATTGTACAAGGCTTCATACTCTCTGATGCAAAAAAGTAAGCCTGAATTAAAAGCTACATTTCTTAATGTCTCTCCTATGAAAAGCTATATAAGTTCCTGGTGTCAGGTTTAAAAACTGAGAACTTGGCCAGGTGTGGTGGCTCATGCCTGTAATCCCAGCACTTTGGGAGATCAAGGCAGACTGATCACCTGAGGTCAAGAGTTCGAGACCAGCCTGGCCAATACGGTGAGACCTTGTCTCTACTAAAAATACAAAAAATGGATGGGCGTAGTGGCAGGCGCCTTAGTCCCAACTACTCGGGGAGACTGAGGCAGGAGAACTGCTTGAACCCGAGAGGTGGAGGTTGCAGTGAGTTGAGACTGTGCCACTGCACTCCAGCCTGGGCAACAGAGCGAGACTCCGTGTGAAAAAATTAAAAAATGAGAACTTATTTTGAAACATTCCGAGTAGAGACTGGGCAGTTACATGATCACTTTTTTAAATGTTTAGGGTTAGGTATTAGCACCTCAGCTATTTGCCTTAGTCTCTTCTTTACCAAAAACCCTCTCTATTAACATATAGCCAATAGCCTTGCTTAAGGCCCAGGAAAAGACTGCATTCAAGGCTTGATGCAAATGATATGTTATGAATTTTTACTTACTCGTGCTAAAGCTGGAATGGAGTGTCTTACATGTAGGTTAGAGTTCAGATGTAAGTTTCTGAGTAAAAAAATAAAAAGTGAACCATCTCCCTTACCCATTCCTGCTCCTCATAGTATAATAAACAAATATCGCAGAGTAGAGAGAATGTGGTTGGAGTTAGGAAATCAAGGAATCAAGTCCTGCATTCCAGTCCTCTACCCCTGACTCACTCACCTCAGGCAAATGGTTCCACTTCATTTCATTTTGCTCTGAGAAGTGAGGAGAGTAACATTTTGTTTAAAATTTTCTTAGGTGAGTGGCTTCTGCTGACCTGCAAGGCCTTTGCTGTAGTTGAGATGAACAAATAAGGAAAACATGCAACTATAGATTGTTTATAGATAGAGGCAGAAAAAAACCAAGGATTTTGATGCTGATTTGTGTCCTCAGGACTTTCCACAAATAACTTTGAGAGATGTACTACTTAGTCGTTAGAGGAAGCTTCCTTCTAGGATGGGTGGATATGAGGCGTGGGGCGGGGTCAGATGGTGATGGGAAAGCAAAGGAACACGATGGTCCCAAATCAAGGCCCATTTGGCTTCAGTGTTTACCCTCACCGAAGTGGGGGTGAAATTTGGAGCCAAGGGTGAGGTAGAAATTAGTTTCCCCGTTGCAGTAGTAACTTGGGTATCAGATAATAAAGCAAATTTCTGCCAGTTTATTCTAAAGGCAAATGAAACTATACAGGGGTTTAAGGTAAAGCTGTGATGAGCAAGAAATATCACCCCTGCCTTTTTAAAAGCTTCCTTTTAAGTTCCAGGGTATGTGTGCAGGATGTGCAGGTTTGTTACACAGGTAAACATGTGCCATGGTGGTTTGCTGCACCTATCAATCCATCACCTCGGTATTAACCCCACCATGCATTAATTATATTTTCTGACACTCTTCCTCCCTCTGCCCTCCCCTTGACAGGCCCCAGTGGGTGTTACTCCCCTCCCTGTGTCCATGTGTCCTCATTGTTCAGTCTCACTTATTAGTGAGAACACATGGTGTTTGATTTTCTGTTCCTGCATTAGTTTGCTTATGATAATGGCTTCCAGCTCCATCCATGTCCCCGCAAAGGACAGGATCTCGTTCCTTTTTATGGTTGCATAGTACTCCATGGTATATATGTACCACATTTTCTTTTTCCAGTCTATCACTGATGGGCATTTGGGTTGATTCCATGTCTTTGCTATTGTGACTAGTACTGTGATTAACATATGTATGTATGATTCTTTATAACAGAATGCTTTATATTCCTTTGGGTATATACCCAATAATAGGATTGCTGATTACAGTGGTATTTCTGGTTCTAGGTCTTTGAGGAATCACCACACTGTCTTCCACATCACCCCTGACTTAATGTTTACTTGGTCATTATTACTTTCTTTTTTTTTTTTTCACTAATTTGGGGCTTACATGACTTTCTTTCCACTATTCTACCTGAAGGTCTCTAAAACTGGTAATCACCATCACCTTATAATTCACTGTCTTAGAACTACATTTATTCAGTTGTTCTATTAAGTTTCCCACTCTCTTGAGACCCAGAATCAGATGACATTGGGTAAAAATGCAGGCTGTCTTTAGGGGAAAAAATAGCTATTTTAACAAGCAGGCTATAATTCAAAACCACACAACAGTATTTAATTGCTTTTGGATTTGACAACACTGGAATTCACTAAAACTTGGAGCCTCTGAAGATAACCTTCCTAATTTCATGCAAGCAGTCCAAGGTATAATTCTTTTTTTTTGAGACGGAGTTTCGCTCTTGTTACCCAGGCTGGAGTGCAATGGCGTGGTCTCAGCTCACTGCAACCTCCACCTCCTGGGTTCAGGCAATTCTCCTGCCTCAGCCTCCTGAGTAGCTGAGATTACAGGCACGTGCCACCATGCCCAGCTAATTTTTTGTATTTTTAGTAGAGACGGGGTTTCACCATGTTGACCAGGATGATCTCGATCTCTTGACCTCGTGATCCACCCGCCTCGGCCTCCCAAAGTGCTGGGATTACAGGCTTGAGCCACCATGCCCGGCCCAAGGTATAATTCTTATGAAAATCAATTCATAGGTTGCATATGTAAAATCCTTTGAGGAAAATGGTCGTGCCATAAAGCTTTATATAATATGCTTCTTTCAGCTCTAACAAGGATATAAATCAGGAAATGCAGGCTTGGCAAAGAAAGAGTTAAGATAATCAATTTTTAAGGAATTTCAGGGATTTTCAGATTTCAGGCTTGGTCTTTTATAAATGATCTTCGGCTGCCCATCTCCTGGTTCTTCCCTGCTAGACCTTATGCATAGGTAGCTCTGTATTAGCTATGCACAGTAGAGAAGGCTAATCAGAGACCCAAATCTTTGTTTCAGAGTTGGAGGCTGAGATGCGAGAGTGACTCAGCTGGCATCAGCTCTGTAGCAGTCTCAGCCTGCAGGCCTTCAGGAAGTGAGTCCTCTGGGCCTGCATCTCACTCTGTGGCAAACTGCCACGAAACTCTGCTGTTTATCAACCCAGTACCAAACACAGAAGGGAAAGTCTGCTGTTTCACTGTTTTCAACAAAACCAAAAGCATAGAAGCCAGTTTATGTAATGGAATAGTATTACAAAGGTGTATTAGATACAGTATCTCCCTTAAGAAGCTTACAGTTTAGTAAGGAAATAAATGTAAATATAGCATTAGAGTACAATGATGCTACAAGCATCCAACAAGAGGGTAAAGGGAAGCAGTTCAGGAAAATCAGAAAAATCTTCTCCCAAAAGGTGACTACGTGGTTTTGAAAGTGGATTTACTAGGTAGAAACTGCCAGGAATGAAGGCAGAGGGGAGAGCATTTATATAGATTCATTAATGGATACATTCACTTTATTCATCGCATTTGCATTGAGTGACTTCTGTGTGCTTGGAGCATGTGATAGGAACCATCTAGTACAGGCAAGGTGGTGTATATATATATAGGTGCAGACAGTGGTAAGATGAGATGATGATGTTGTGGGAGTAACTGGAAGTTCTCCAATTGCTTACATTCTCTTAGTCAAGTAGGAAGTAAGGTCATGTGTTGAAGGACATAATTATGGTCCGAAGCAACATAATATGATTGGCTGGTAGTATTAAGAGCTCTCTTAAGGTTCTGACCATGGATATAAAGTGAGAGTAGTTACTTTTTTTTTTGAGACAGAGTCTCGCTCTGTTGCCAAGGCAGGAAGGAGCGCAATCAGTTGTGCAATCTCAGCTCACTGCAACTTCTGCCTCCTGGGTTCGAGTGATTCTCGTGCCTCAGCCTCCCAAGTAGCTGGAACTACAGGTTCGTGCCACCATGCTCAGCTAATTTTTGTATTTTTAGTAGAGAGGGAGTTTTGGCATGTCAGCCAGGCTGGTCTCGAACTCCTGGCCTCAAGGGATCCACCCAAAGTACTGGGATTACAGGCGTGAACCACTGCACCTGGCCAGACTAGTTACTTTGTTTTCTTTGACTTCATTTGGCTACATAGGTACAGAGCAGGTAAAGAGCTGAATTAAGCCAAGGAGGTGGTTTAGGTGAGTATAGTGAAGTGAGAGGCAATGAAGCTGAAGGTGTATTCAAGAGAATGCTTATGATTGATCATGGAACATAAGTTGTGTCAGGAGGGAAAAGTTGACATCAAGGTGGTGAGGGAGATGGTGTGATCAATTTATCAATGGTCATGAATAACTCTGAATTTCTGTAATTGAGATATTTGACAGAATGGGCTAGGAAGATAATAGATGATTAGAGAGAGGGATGCATGAAATTGAAACTAAGGTGGTTGATGTTTTTGGTAAAAAGATGGGAATCAGTATCCAAGGAAGGTGAAAGGTATAACTGTTAAGTTTTTAGGGAATCAAAAAGCCAGGCTGGTTGAAGGATCATTTATGTTAATAGTTCTCAAACTTTAGCATGCATTAGACTTATATATGGAAAGCCAATTAAAATACAGATTGCGTTGGGTGCAACGACGTATGCCTGTAGTCCCAGCTACTTGGGAGGCTGAGGCAAGAAGATTGCTTGAGCTCAGGAGTTTGAGACCAGTCCAGGTAACAGTGAGACCATCTCTTAAAAAATGCAAAACACCACAACAAAAAACACAGATTGCAAGACCCCACCCCTAGTTTCTGGGGTAGAGCCTTTTCATTTCTAAATTCCCCGATGATGCTGATGCTGCTGTGGTCCAGGGACCATACTTTGGAAACTACTGACCCATGTGTATGTTGAAACTGCAATTGCCGAGAATTCAGATATAAGAAGTGTTATAAAGTGACAGTAAGCCAGGACACAAAATTGGCAAGAAATAAAGGGAAGCCACGTGAAGTACCTCACACTTGTAATTCCAGCACTTTGGGAGGCCAAGGTTGGGGGGATTGCTTCAGCCTAGGAGTTTGAGACCAGCCTGGGCAAAGTGGTTGTCTCTACAAAACAATAGCTGCATGTGGTGACATGCGCCTATAGTTCCAGCTACTTGGGAGGCTGAGATGGGAGGATCTTGACTGAGCCCAGGAGCTTGAGACTGCAGTAAGCCGTGATCAAACCTCTGTACGCCAGCCCAGGGCGACAGAGCGAGACCCTGTGCCAAAAGACAAAAAGAAATAAAGGGGAATGAACCGATTAGTGGAAAACTGCAATGATCAGGGACAGTCGATATATACTCTAATAACATGAGATTGAAAGCTGGGTGTTATGGGGATTGGTTTGAAATTGTGGCTGAAACAGTGGTTGGTAGCTAAGAGATTAAGGCGAGGCTGAAGGGACATTGCCAAGAGCTTTGCATGTTAGTATTTTATTGTATCAGGGGCTTTTGTTTGGTAAACGGGTCTAGTGTAACTTCCCTGCTAAGGTATTACCTCTGGTGAAACTGCTGCTGAATTCATTAGAAGGGTGATCACAATCTTACGTCCTGGTAGAAATAAAAACCACAGTAATTAGGAAATAATAAGTCCTACTAAAGTACTTATCACATAAGATTAAGGAGGCTGATATCTAATGAGAGAATAAATCTTCTTTTTTTTTTTTTTTTTTTTTTGAGACGGAGTTTTCGCTCTTGTTACCCAGGCTGGAGTGCAATGGCGCAGTCTCGGCTCATTGCAACCTCCGCCTCCTGGGTTCAGGCAATTCTCCTGCCTCAGCCTCCTGAGTAGCTGGGATTACAGGCACGTGCCACCATGCCCAGCTAATTTTTTGTATTTTTAGTAGAGACGGGGTTTCACCATGTTGACCAGGATGGTCTCGATCTCTTGACCTCGTGATCCACCCGCCTCAGCCTCCCAAAGTGCTGGGATTACAGGCTTGAGCCACCGTGCCCGGCTGAGAATAAATCTTAAATAATAGTAGGGCAAAACAGGACCAAGAATATATAATAAAGGATGGAACTGTGTAAATGCAAAGCAGGGTCCACAGGGTGGTCACAGGTAGAGCCAGGACACAGACTACAACACTGGTCGTTTATGCTTCTACCACTTATTGCTCCTGGGATCCTAGCCAAATTATTTTATGTTTTCTGCTCAGTTCCTCTCTTGTTAAATGGTGTATCATTTATGGCACGTACTTCAGAGGAAAGTTGAGGGCTAAATGAGATAGTTGGTGCAAGTGCTTTGAAAAGGTAAAGTGCTGGCTGGGCGTGGTGTCTCACACCTGTAATCCCAGCACTTTGGGAGGCCGAGGCAGGCGGATCACCTGAGGTTGGGAGTTCGAGACCAGCCTGATCAACATGGAGAAACCCCGTCTCTAAACAAAAAAAAAAAAAAAAAAAAAAAAAGGAAAAGGTAAAGTGCTATAAAAATATGAAGTATTTAAAACATGAAAAATTTAAAAAGAAACAAAGTACTGAGCTATCTTTAGAGATCAGGGTAGAATACTTAG